GCCACTTTTGGAGGTTCAGATGTCGAAAAAGTGCACGCCGTTGCGGCGCGAAGCACATTTCGAAGTCCAAATGTTAAAAAACACCAGGGGTTCGGACTACTTTTGGAGGTTCAGATGTCGCTTCGCTTCACTACACTACACTACACTACATTACACTACACTACACTCCACTACACTACGCTCCACTACACTACATTACACAACACTACAACTACAACTACACAACTACACTCCACTACAATAAATTACGCTACACTACACTACATTACACTACACTACATTACACTGAATGACACTGCACCACAGATAGACAGGTAGACAGATAGACAGATAGATAGACAGACAGGTAGACAGCTAGACAGATAGACAGATGAAAGAGAGAGAGAGAGAGATAGATAGATAGATAGATAGACAGATAGGTAGGTAGGTAGATAGGTAGATAGGTAGATAGGTAGATAGGTAGATAGGTAGATAGGTAGATAGGTAATGAGATGAAAGAGAGAAAGAGAGAGATAGATAGATCGATAGATAGATAGATAGATACATAGAAGATAGGCTGGTAGGTAAGTAGATAGTCAGAGAAAGAGAGAGAGAAAAAGAGGAGACCTCAAGCACCTTTCGGTCCATCAGTGGATTCGCTCTGCCATCCCTGGTTCACAACAGCCAATCTCTCCTATAGGTTTCCTATTTTTGAAACTTCCGCCACCGCCTTGTGCGGTACACTATTTGATCGAAATACCAAAGGGATGAAACCATGTACTTGAAACATGGGATTTGGATGGATTTTGTGGAGTGGGAATGGGTTTATATCCGCAAATCTGTTGGCTGCGCATGTCCAAACTAGCTGGGAGCACACATCTTGGGTTGCCTTGAATCAACATGGGACTGCAAGAACAGCTATCAGTTGTCTTACATGTTTTCGACTGCCCAGCAGAAAAGAATTCAAGCACACAGTGAAGATATCTGTTCTTGATGTGTATGCATAACCAAAGATATTTATTAAGCGTTGGACTTGAGCAATTGCAGTGCTTTTTGGTACCTGGGCAGGCTTTTCATTGCACTATCACAAACCGACGTGGATTTCCTTGTGGTTAAATGACTGTGATAGCATTCTTTGTTGCATGGGACTAAGATCTGAACTGCTGTGCTCGTTGATGCCGAGGTCGTCGTTGACGCTTCTGCTTGAACTACAATGGCAATGGCTATGCTCTGTGTCGTGGTTGTGGTAGTCGTGGTAGTTGTGGTAGTCGTCGTTGTGGTTGTCGTAGTAGATGGGGTGCTAGTGACTGCCGCAGTGGTAACAGCGCCAGTGGTCGTCTGCGGTGAGATAGTGTTCGAGTCCTGTGCCAGTGGGGGTTCTCCCCAAAAAAGTAGCCTATCTCCTAAAGCCATTGGTTTATCATCAAATTCCCATTAAACAAATCCCCCATTTCTGACAGTTTGTTGTTCAATCACTGCACCATCTGGGCACCTGGATGTGGGATGGGCGATCTTTGTGCTCGGGGCCTGGTAGCAAACATGGGAGAAACGAAGAAATGGAGATGGATCAAACCTGATCAACATGATTGACCCTCAATCAATAAATGGTCTCTTGGATGGATCTGTTTTCTTTAAATAAATACAAACTGCTTATTTCCCAGTAAAATGGCGCGCGGGTTTATTGATCCAGGTTTGACCCAGACCAATATTTTGAGATCCCTCAGCTGCACACACTGGGCCGCAGCAATGCCAACTTTCCGGTTCTCAAGATCGAACACTATTTCCTGCGCGACTGCAACAGGTTGTTGACATATGTTGGGATTTTCAGAAACCACAATGGTTGGATTTTCAGCCATGATAAAGAAGTGTAATTCCAAATATTCCAATGTTTTGGTTGATAATCCATGATATTCCCTTGGAATGATCACAATGATCACAATCCATTATGATAATCACTGATAATCACTATTAAGCAGCCATTGTTTCGGGAAGTTTCGGGGATCTCATGGAAGAAGAAGAGCCGGATCCTTGTGCATCATCCAAACAGCGCCCAAGACGGTGTTGGCACGTGGACCGTCATCTTCAAATCCATAGCAGTAGGTGTCTGTTTTGCCCTTCCTGGAGCTGAAGGGTCAGGGAAGTGCGACTGTTCGTGAAGTGAATTTCACCAGCTGACTTGAACAACTAATGGCATCAAGCTTTGGTTTGTTTGCAACCATCAACAACTAAGACTACGATGATATAATACTAGAGGCCTAAAAGAAACTATGTCAACAAGTCCAATGCAGCTTGACATTTCTGGCGCCTGTAGAAGTAAGCCTGTGGCACCCACTCAGTCTCCACAGAGTTGAAGAAGACTTTGATCGTTGGAAACCTCGATACTTTGCTACAGCCAGCCCAAGGGGGCATCAATCCACCGAGAGAACAGGATCTGAAAGGAGCTCGATGGGAGCTCGATGGGAGATCGATGCTGAATGATCTAAAGCTGAATGCAAAGCTACTAGACCTACTAAGGAGCTGACTTGCCAGGTCCATTCGCCAGCTTCCAGCAGTTTCGGCCCTGTTTGGTGCCGCCGCAAGACCCTCCTGCACAGGTCACAATAGGTCACAATTTCAGGGACCAAAGAATGCAACTCTCGGTAAGACTTTGAGACATTTTGAGACATCATCTCATCTCACCATTTAAACCATATCAGAGTTCAATCGCTTAAAATTAGGCATCATCTCACCATTTGTACCCCAAATCCCCCGGTTTTTTCACACCATTCCTGGACTTCAATATCGCTGTCCATTCCCAAGCAGCTCCTCCACAAGCCGCCTCGATGCCATTGGCTAAACTCCGGTAGTTGGATGATTTCATGTAGGTGTACCTCGAGAGGCTCGATATCAAGTCGCAGTGGCCATGCAACAGGAACCCATTTATTAGAGGTACCTACCATGTATAAGGTCGATGTAACGGCTATGTAGTCGTATGTACCCCCAGAATATGGCTTTGTATGGTACGGAACCTGCAGTTTAGGTACCTGAAATGGCCATTGAAAGTCGTCAAGTCGTCAAGTCATTCAGGTACCCACGGTTACCCACGGTTACCCACCCACCAAAATGGTGTCTTTATGGTTTCAACCAGTCTTTGGGGGGTTGATAAGGTTGACCCATACTGGGTGAACAAAGGGGGCACGTGGTGCCACTGTCGATCATTGTGCTGCCCCAGCTACTGATGCTGGTGCCACCCACCTACATTTTGTCAAGGGTCGCAAAAAGTTACAGAAAAGCGAGATTGACTTCTTTCTCAACAAGAGATCTCACGAGAGTCTATGTTTTCGTGCCACAATGTCTTTGTCCATGTTCCATCATGTTCCCAGCCTGCATTTTGGTCAGGCTAACTCCGTAGAAGCCGCCAGGGTTCAGTGGAATGTGCACCAGAGGACCCGTGTGGTACCTCAACAGGCGCAGTTGGTTCCGCAATTACCAAGCCAAGCTGATGGTTGGCTGTCAATGGGATGCGGACGAATCATCATAGCCACCCACATTGAACTGACCCCCCCACCTCAAGCCACAAAACTGCAGAGTGAACGATATGTGAATGATTCATTCGTCCAGCTGCATGCTGAGCTCCCAGCTCAGCCAAGCAAATTGAGAAGACTTTGTGGGAAACATGCTCTCTGTCCTCCCCAGTGTCTCTTACTCAAGTATCCTAACGCATCCTTTGTCTTCAAATCAAACATTGAGCTTCAGATTCCGTGTAAGCTTGTCCTACACGAGGTCTATGTCTCGGTCTTAGGTCCTTGAAGATCTTGTCCAGGATGTATTCCCGATCCAACGAAGATGGGCCAATCCCCATGATGCCGTTCGCCTTCAGAATTGAGCGAAACAGTTTGGGAACGGCAACTTCTTTGGAGCACGTCCTATCTGCTTCTTACAACTTCTTTGGAGATGTTCACGGCAGGAGGTCGGTCAAAGGTAGTGTAAGTCCAGATCTAGACCGTACATGTTTCTACTCCATTCATCCTCCAAAGAGTCAAATCTGTGCATGCCTTCTGGGTGTAGAACAAGTTGTTCTCGTTCGAATGACATCCCATCCTCCACCAAATCCAAAAGCATTGGAGCAGGACTTTAAATCTCATGCCCCAGCCATATAGACTCAATGAAGTGATGTGCTGCCCGACCAACATGGGAAAGGCCAACCTCACAAACATCTAGCCTTTTTCCAACACTCGAAACAGGGCACAGGACAGGAGTCCTGGCTTTGACCTGCGGATTGTGCTGGATCATGTCTCCCAGGCTGACCATGTCCTGACAATCAACTCGCAGAGAGAGACAGAGAGAGAGAGAGAGTCTTTGACATTCGACAGAGGTGCGGTCCTCAAACCAGAAGCCAGAAATCGAAGACCTTTCGGTGTAACCTGCAGGGCCATCAAGCATCAAAGCTTTGTACTTCCAGTATGTTAATTGAACCAACTGGTTACTATCGCTTTGTCGCTTTGGCACCTTGGTAGTAGGAGCACTTTCCGGACCTTACGACAGTCAGCCGTCCAGCAATTTCGACACACGTCGGCGTCAACGAAACGTTTCATCGTCTTCTGGATTGAACGAAGTCAGTACGGCTGCTTTGCTTATCTATCTATTTATCTATTTATTCATATTAATATATATATATAATTAATCATCATATATCTGTTGAAAGCCAGTCACTTCCTCAGCAGAGCTCTGCGGGTCCCTCCACTGGGGCGCCGGCGAGCATCTGCCCACTGGGCATCGATTTCCGCTGCATTGAAGCCAGGAAGCTGTGCTGCTCTTCCCAATGTCAAACCTTAATTCGTGGACCATGATATCATGTAGTGGATATATGGTTCTAATATGTTCTAATCGGATATATGGCTCTATGATATACATCATCATACACACATAGAATGTGATTAATACTTGATATGATGGGATATAGTGGGATGCCAAAAAAATCTCCTCATATGCATATTGGAAACATTTGGAAACGTTCAAAGCCAGTTCAACACGATTTTCTAGCAATCCATCAGGTTTGACATCCAGGTCTGAAGACTGCCAAAAAATGTGGCATCTGCCAGAAATTCATCGGAGAGCAAGAAATCTATTGATATTCTATTTATAAGTGGCTTCATGAAGAGACCTCACAAAATTTCCTCCCTTACCTCACAAAATCTACAGTGAATCTACAGTTTGGATCATGTGTGGATCATCCTCAGGCTCCATGGCTCTATTCCGAGGCAGAGACGCTGGGTCTATGTGACGGCCACCTTACGGCGATGATCGGGTCCTACCCTCTTTGGACTGACATGGTACATGTCTCAATAAATCTCAATAAATGTTATGTATTGATATGTATTGTAATGTGATATACATGATATACATGGACACATCATACATGTGCACAAGGATATGCTGTGCACAAGACATATTCAGATACGTGATGCAAGCACAAGATGCACAAGGTTCCTGCTGAATGCTTATCAAATAGTTTTATCAACACAGACTCTTTGCTCTCTCAGCAGCGTGCAATGCCCGCAGCTGGCACAGGGATACGCACAAACCTGGCAGAGGAATCGATTCCGAGGCAAAGTTTGGATCCGCTGCCAACATGTCAGAATGACTCCACTACCAGTGTCCAGGATCACCGAGACCCTCTGGGGTGGAGTTCCCACAACCAAATCGACCTGCCAGGAAGCGCAATGCAGAACTAAAGCTTGGAGATGGCCATAGCAGTGCTAGGGGCCCTTGCAAAGTAGTAGGCAAATTGGTCAACGTTCCTCAGACAAAGGCTAATTCTGCTCCAGCAGGAGCCAGTCGCAAGGTACCTAGTTCATGAATCCTAACGAAACTATTGCACGATATGTGAACCATGCAGATCTGAGAGACTCACCCATAGAGACGAGCATGTTCGATCTTTCTCACCGAATCGTAGTCTGCTGCAATTCGTGGCAGACCTCACAAGTTGGGAACCCTGAAATGTCAGACCACTGGTTTCCCCACAGAAAGCTACCGATGTCTCGTTGCATCACTAAGCCATCTTTCACAACTCAGATCTGCTATCAGTCTGAGATGTCCACAAAGGGCAAAGATCGCCCATGCTGATGGCATCAAGTCGACCCTGAGATGAAAAATCCATGGAGTTGTCAGGAGTCATGTGAAACCGTCAGGAAGTGATCATGTAAATCATGTAATAAGTTAGTAATAAGGTCATAAGTTGACCATAAAATCAGCAGAAACTCAGCGCAACATGATGCAATTTATGATGCAACTTATGATGCAATAAAAATGATGAAACGATCACCTCCAATCTGCACCAAACTCAGCCGCCCCTCAGGACCTCCTGGAATCGAGGACTCGTTGACACCATAGGATATCAACATAGGATATCAACATAGGATATCAACATAGGATGTCAACATAGGATATCAACATAGGATATCAACATAGGATATCAACATAGGATATCAACATAGGATATCAACATAGGATATCAACATAGGATATCAACATAGGATATCAACATAGGATATCAACATAGGATATCAACATAGGATATCAACATAGGATATCAACATAAGATATCAACATAGGATATCAACATAGGATATCAACATAGGATATCAACATAGGATATCAACATAGGATATCAACATAGGATATCAACATAGGATATCAACATAGGATGTCAACATAGGATATCAACATAGGATATCAACATAGGATATCAACATAGGATATCAACATAGGATATCAACATAGGATATCAACATAGGATATCAACATAGGATATCAACATAGGATATCAACATAGGATATCAACATAGGATATCAACATAGGGATATCAACATAGGGTATCAACATAGGGTATCAACATAGGATATCAACATAGGATATCAACATAGGATATCAACATAGGATATCAACATAGGATATCAACATAGGATATCAACATAGGATATCAACATAGGATATCAACATAGGATATCAACATAGGATGTCAACATAGGATATCAACATAGGATATCAACATAGGGTATCAACATAGGGTATCAACATAGGATATCACATAGGATATCAACATAGGATATCAACATAGGATATCAACATAGGATATCAACATAGGATATCAACATAGGATATCAACATAGGATATCAACATAGGATATCAACATAGGATATCAACATAGGATATCAACATAGGATATCAACATAGGATATCAACATAGGATATCAACATAGGATATCAACATAGGATATCAACATAGGATATCAACATGGGATATCAACATGGGATATCAACATGGGATATCAACATGGGATATCAACATGGGATATCAACATAGGATATCAACATAGGATATCAACATAGGATATCAACATAGGATATCAACATAGGATATCAACATAGGATATCAACATAGGATATCAACATAGGGTATCAACATAGGATATCAACATAGGGTATCAACATATATCAACATAGGATATCAACATAGGATATCAACATAGGATATCAACATAGGATATCAACATAGGATATCAACATAGGATATCAACATAGGATATCATAATATATCATAGGACAGCAACTGAATCAATCGTTCTGGATGAATCAATGAAGCAACTCGAATCTCCTGCCCCTCACAGCATCCAAGAGGCTGTTCCATGGCAGGAAGAGAGTTGATGCGTTTTGCAACGTTTTGCTGGATTTGTTTCAGTCGTGAGTCCTGGCTTTGGCCATATCAGAACTTTCAGGTTGGAAGCAATTGCGTTGGAGGCCATGCTTTCAGCTCCTCACTTGAGAAAATGATATCGTAAAAGAGTAAGCTGCGTCAATTCCAGTGGTCTAACAATATTTGGAAGCTGGGTTTGAGCCAACGACCCCAGGGTTCACCATGCATTCAATGCTCACAGCTCTACATGTGTCAAACTCACACATTGTCGGGTCTTTCCAATCTGACTTGATGAACCCGGGCTCATTGGTGTATTCTAAAGGGGCTTGTGGCTGCTTCCTAGCGCATGAATTCCTCCATCAACTCATGCCAGGGTGACTGCTACGACTGATAGGTCGACGCTCTTCCGTGAATTCTCTCGGCACTCCCGACTCAAGACCTGTCAATCTGTGGTTCGCAGTTGTGTCCAAATTGATGGCTTGCGGCTCCTGGAACTTTTTCTAAGAGACTGTCAGGGGTCTCAATTCGGGTGGGTGGTAGTGATGTCGATGAACCCGTAAATGCGGAACCCGTAAATGCGGAAGAAACTTAGATATCAAGGCTCTTAGGGGGCTGGTCACTGGGACAATCTTTCTCAAGGATGAACATCTATTATAACTCCCAGCTATTTTGGTCTAAAAAACCAGGGTATCAGCTTTTTGACGCGTTCTCAACTGCTCAGTTGACCAATCTCAGCCCACCTGAAGCAGATTCTCATGCTCTGCCAGCAGCTCCAGGTTCACGGGCTGGCACAAGCTTTGCTGCCAGCTACTATGGCATATGTGGGGATGGTTTCACAAAAAATCACCAAAATCTCTAGAACCATCCAGCCTCAGTGCATACTCTTAGGATGCACTTCGCACCATAAACCTTCAGCTCCATCCGGTCCTGCGCCATCAACGGGAACCAAAAAAAGCCCTGTCGCTCACCCCGTCTGCAGTTCTCCTCATAAAGCTGGTCGGCATAATCCTCAATCTGACGCATGTCCGCTTGAGGAAGGAGTGGTTCCTGTTGTGTTGAACGGACGTGGAAAGGCGATTCCTGCCTTTTGGGGGTTTTTAACACGACACTTCACAACAGTTCTGAGGTGGTTTCACCTTGGTATCTTTTCAAAAAACATAACAAAACTGTCCAACTTCAACTGCTGGTCGTGCTGACCTGCCGTCGCTGCTTCGGAGGAGGCGGCGGCGGTGGTGGTGGAGGAGGCTCCTGTCGTTGGCTTTTTTTGCGACCTTTTTGTATCTGAATAATAAATTCAACCAACAAAAACTTGAACAAATTGAGGTCAATACCGGTGAAATGGGATAAAACGCCAACAAGGGATCTTATGTTTGAAAAACAGTGGTATGGGTAAATGCCAGTAATTTTCCATATGAAAGAGGCGGGTATTCATACCCGGCTATACCAGCTTTTGATGTGTTTTCAACCCAAGCAAGTACCAGGCTTTTGTTGACCTTGACTCAATTGACCAAAGTTTTTAGATATCTTCGGAGATCCCTGGATATAGATGACTTAGATGACTGAAATTGGGGACGACCAGTGAAAAAACTGATACGTGCAACGTGCTCGAACCGCCTGCCCCCGACCTTGCCGCTGCATCGCCTTCAGGAGAGCAGCAGAGACTTTCTATGCAAAAAAACAAAATGGTTCATGGGGATAGCCAAAAGATAAAGATGATAAAGGTAAAAAATTGGAAAATACACCCGTTTTTTGGGGGTACGTACCCTAGTGAAAAAACAAACCTAGAATGATCTCTCCTGACATGGTCCCGTGAAAAGACTTCAAGTGTGCCTCATGCTCGGCCAAGGCCAAGAGTGACTGTTCCACCTCGCCAACCTGTCCAAAGATTGCTCCAAAGCAGGTGTAGCCCTGCTCAAATGCGCAAAGTGGCGGACCTTTGAAGGTGGAATGTACTTTCGGCATTTCTCGACCACTTCTTGTGCAAGACCCTGAATCTCGGGTCCTGACAAAAAATCCACTGCAAGGGCTCTTGAGAATCACAGAGAAATAAGACAAAGTATGACAAAGTTACATGTTCAAATTTGGTCCTTGCAACCCTCGCGGTACGCGGATCACTTTTTGTCCAGGTTGAGATTCTGATCTTACCTGGCAAAATGGTTGGGAGAAAAAATAGGAATGCAAGCAAGATATGGACATCCTTGAGATCGATCACATGGAACATGGCAGCAGTACCGGATTGCCGTATTCATCGAAGTGATGGGTTTCGGTTACGTATGATACCTGTCAGCTTCAATAGCTTTGTCAGTCACACACTCACTGCCTCTATATATTTCTCTCTCCCTCTTTCTCTAATTCTTCTCACACGAAAATGCTGAATTCCGGAGGTTGGGCCAGTCTCGTTTCATGGGTCACTTTGAGAGCGAACTCTTCCGGATCTGCATCAATGTGACCTCAAACTCTTCTTGCATATGGATCATATTTACATCATATACTTTACAGTAGCTGCGGAATCACTGACTTCCGAGACTTCTATAGACTTCTGGATTGCTGTCAAGATCTTCCTTCATGGTTGCTCCACAGCTGCGGAGCCCTGCCAAGCTTCACCTTCTTCTTGGTGGACATGGCACACCTTGACTTCCCACAGTTTTACCACCCACAAAATGTTGAGAGTAAAAGCACTTCGATTTGGATTTTTTTACATCACAACTTCAAAACACCATCAGTTGTCATCCGTATATTTGATCCCTATAGTTCCGCCATTCCCTCCATTCCGGCCTGTGAGCGCTCAAGAAGTTTGGACAAATCAGTGACAGAAATGTCGTAGTCTGGGTTTGGGGTTCAATGTGTTGGTGTCAATGAGCTGAGCGACAATGAGGGGGTGAGGGGATGGTGTGGTGCATGTTATTGATTTATGGGCTTGTCCCTAAAGCTATTTGCTTGGACCAGCGCAGCCATTCCAACAAATGTTCAAGCAAAAGTGAGCCATCCTGCCAATCCCAAGCTTTCTCCGAGCTTTGAAGCTCACCGCATCGCACAACGTTAGCACAAGTATGTTTGAAAATGGGATATACCCCATTAATGGATTTGTTAATAGTGAAAATGGTGATTAACCATCAAATTTTGGGATACCCACAGTGTCACAGGTCACGTTCCAGGTCACATTGTTTTTCACCCACTTCTCAAGGTACCATTCTGCAGAGGTTGAAGTGCCCTGGCGAGGTCTGGAAGAAACACAGCACGATGGCAACCACGAAGGTATGAGGTATTGTGATGGACTACGGCTATACATATATATATATATATACGTATATACATATAATTTATAACGTATATATATATATATACACGTGTGGTATATAATATATATATATATACATATATACATATATACATATATACATATATACATATATACATATATACATATATACATATATACATATATACATATATACATATACACATATATACATATATACATATATACATATATACATATATACATATATACATGTATACATATATACATATATACATATATATATATACACATACGTACATGTATATATACATATATATACATATATATCTACACATACGTACATGTATGTAGCTGTATATCCCATTAACAACTACAGTATCCCATTATTATTATCGCAAGTATTGTTCACTCAAATCATATGCAAGGTTCACAGTCAACCTTGAAACACCTGAGGCAAAGTTGGACCTTTCGAAATTTGGTGAGACTGCATTGATACGACTATGACAGGACTGTCGACTGTACAACACCCCACAAACACACAAAACGACACGTTAATGTATTGCAAAACTTGAGAGCAGGCGGAGGCGGACGAAAGGTAGTGTAGTGGGAGAGGAGTGGTGTCAAAATGCTGCGCCCCTAAAATGATACACCAAAAACTTTTTTGCGCAGTCTAAGATGATTTTATCCAGAGCATGACTGCATGATACGGTGTCTTGTGCAGCGTGAAATGATGCACGAAAAGGGGTTTATTTAAAACCCCTTTTTAAGACCCCTTGCAGCAACTGTTATTGAGGCTGAAGCAAACCAATTATGATGGACTACAGGGACATCTCCCTCATGGAGAGTGTGCCTCTACTGTGGCGGACCGTGACCGCGTTACCCGTGGGAATTGAACCCATGACCATTTTAGAGGGGGGGGGGCCCTTATAATTGATATCTAATACATTGACGTCGAGAAGTCTACGTTTTCCACGGGCTGGCCCCCCAATACCCCCTATGATTGTGCTGAAGCACGGAGAACTCAGGTAGCTGACGCTACCTTTCGTGATGACAAGAAAATCTGGATAAAGGATGGAGTCTGCTGTCGGGTTGCACAGCGGGGTTAATGTCCATAATGTTGGGGACCCGTGTAAGGGGCTGGCTTGAAAAAAATGTGTCACTTTGCGGTGATATCTTGAAACCATATGTAATGTGGTGGGACATTTTGGGTGTCCACTAGGTAAGTGTTCAACATGACACACGGGCACACCTGGGCAGTCGTATGGCACAGGCCATTTGTGACAACAAAAATATCCGAGTATCATCTATAAATCGAGAACCTTCCATTAGGTTTGGTTGCGAGAGAGCGCCAATCTTATCCAATATATAACCTCAGTGGATCTCGGTGGTTTCAAGGTTAGTCCCTTTGATCTTTTACCCAGTGAATCGGTCATCCCCTTGCCTCAACCTTTCACAGTCTTGGATCAAGGTCACAGCAAAGGCAGATGATACCAAGCGCACGGGAAAAAACAGAAAATATCGGGAAATGTGATGCCAGTAGACATCCAAGTTGATGAAAAAAATACGGAAGGGGACACCCTGAGAGTGATTTTTTTCCCCAAACACATGATGAAATACGAATGCCTCATTCAGTCACACCCAGTTTAGTGAGTCTAATAGCAGACCGTTTCACAAAGGCCACGCTAGAAAACAGTCTGAAATGTTATGATGGACTCGGCTGTTGGCATCTGTTGACGTCCTTCATTTGAAACTTCGATCTGGATCTCTGTCTTCGGCATAGATTTTTCCTGATGAAAGGTGAGGTCTGTGGTCAGGAAATTTTTTTTGGATCGACAGGTGAAAACTTCAGAAAAAAATGCCCATTATGTCATGCGCTATGTTGCAGCACAAATACGAAACTATCAGAGCTGAGCTCAGCACCGTCTGCTTTCGCATTCTTTCCAGTTTATCTTCCATGATTTTTTTTGTCCTGCCCACTCGCTGTGCCCAAACATACCACAGGGTCAAGCACGAAAATCGCTCAGGTGGGCCCCGCACTGGAATTATTTGCCTGGCTGGGGACTCCACAAGCAGTACGCAAGCCTCCTCGAGCTACGTACAGTGGTTGCCATCTTGACTCCCACGAAAACCGAACTTACCGACTTCAATCCCATAGATGTCAACTTCCACTGCCCCGTTCTTCTAAGTGACACAAGGTGATACAGAATACTGCAACGATCCAGACATTGTAACATTGGTTTTTTTTCTACAAGTGACGTGTTCACACAGTGACATCGCATTGTGCTCTACACATTCCTTGTGAGTTCTTCATCCACTGATTTCTTGGCCGCTTAATTTCAATCATCCTGGAGTTGCAGGTGTTTTGGTGGCATGATGACCCAACGATCCGCGAGGTCTGTCTTCGAATTTAACATTACGGCCTCTTACACTCACTCCGTGTCATCCGCATTGCGAGCTGCGCTTTCACCTTTTTTGGATGCTGCGCTGCCTGTTGGTCGCACTCCGTCGCAGCGGCTGCGCGTGCTGCTACGGATCTGTTCCGACTGCACCACGCCGCAGCTGTGTGCAACTGGCAGCAGGGTGGGTGGTAGTGGGTGTTTCAATTTGGCACTCGGGCCTTCACACCTTCGGCATTCGGCCCGAGTGCTCACGACCTCCCATGTTCCTACGCACAATGCTTGTGCTACATAACATTCCGGCCTCTCACGCTCACGCCGTGTCATCCGCATTGCGAGCTATTTCACCTTTTTGGATGCTGCGCTGCCTGTTGGTCGCACTCCGTCGCAGCGGCTGTGCGTGCTGCTACGGATCTGTTCCGACCATAGTGGTGCGACTTGAACTGGCCATAGTCTCGCACTTCATCGGAGACAATTTCACAGCTGCTTGTGGTGGAAGGTCGCGGCTCGGAGATTCGGTGCTTTTCATCGGTTCCCGTTTGATCCTTGAGTCGATGGCCTGGTGCTCCGCGACTCTGGATGTCTTCGGGTCTTCGGCACGATCTGTCCTGAATGGTGTGGCTGTGCTCGAGGGTTCTCCCGCGCGTCTCTGGTCGGAGACACAAAGACGGGTGGTGTGACGGTCTCTCTGATGTGCGAGATCCGTTATTTTGTGTCGGGTGCCGGTCATTCGGTGTGCTGATGATGTAGTCGACAGTACCGCTGGCGGCGGCGAGAACTCCTGGCTATGTGGCTCGTTACTGGAGGTGGATGTGACGGTTTGGCAGACTATTCTCGATCCATGTTGTAGATAAGCCGCTGTCGGTGGCCATGTCGCTGTGCAGCAATTTGTGGGATGTTCCATTGCAGGATGAGGAATACTGGTGCCCTTTCAAAGGTGTTATTATGTTATTAATCATCCACCAACGTCACCAACGTAAATCTCAACCGCCCACCAAAATCAGAAATGAAAAAGTGGCTGTTAGACGTTCCTAGATCTGTCGGTCACCTTGGTCCAAACAAAATGCTCTCAAATCGGAAGAACAGTTGGTGGTGGGTCCCCACAATCTTCAAGATGACAAAGTAATACAACTGTGTGATTGGTTTGTGCGGCGGACCTATCTCGTCTGCTGTCAGCCTTTGGGCTGCTCTGTGAAGTGGGTAGTAAATAGATAGAGTGCTAGCGCGCACTCTCGGTCCACCTAGCTCGGCTGGACTTCGCTGAACAAGTGTGTGACCATCACCGCTCTCTTCTGAGTACCATGTGAAATGATCAATATGGTTGATGTTCCACTGATGTGTTGCGAGCACTCATTCTGTGACGGGTCTGCTCTTCTTTTTTCTATTGAGCATGCCTGATCATTGGGAATGATGCTTGATGATCCTCCCCGGTGGTCTCCCGCGGGCCGAAGTTCACTGCTCTTGTCCGGAGCGTGTCTATGAGCGTGCTTGACGTGCTCCGACACTGTGCGCAACCTCTCTTCGTTGCGCCGTGGGGTGTCCTTCTGTGGTCTCGTTTGAGTGATCGGGACTGTCCTGCTATCCGCGGGGTAGTCCGGAGGTCCCAGCCTGATGGTGTCTTGGTGTGGCGCCTGCGGTTGCCGCCCTCGTCCGGCTCCGCTGTCTTGGTCTCTGAATGGGGCCGTGTCTGTCTGGATCTTGGCCATCTGCGATGGCTGGCAATGGTGTCTCCGAGTGCGGGTCGTGCCAAAGTTGAGCCCGTGTCTGTTGGGTGTCGCCCGTCTTGGCGTCTGCCAACCATGCTCCGTTGAGTCTTTGACTGTCCCGTCCCTCTGGACTGTGGCGCCATCCTGTTCCTGGGCCGATGGCGCCTATTGGTCGGACTCTGTCTGAGAGTGCGAGTGTGAGTTTCATGTTGACCTTGTGTACGAGGTTTGCCTGCCCGGGTTTGGCCGGAGCCCTGTTGCACTGCTTATAGTGTGCCACCCGGCTGTGGGGTATGGGTGCTAAGGCTGTGTGCCCATGGCGTTGTGTCCTCCCATGGTCGGTCTGCCATGAGTTGGACTCCCTGGCTGGTTCTGTTTGAGGGTCCGTCTGGGCCTTCGTGACGATGATGTTGTGGCCGCCGTTCCGTCTTCTGGCGTGGCTCTGGCCGATGTCTCCCTGTGTCGGGCATGATCTCCACTTCGATGCCGGCGACACTGAAGTGTGACTGGGTCCCAGTGGTGGTGGTGTTCCCCACCGATCTGCCGGTGTCGTTAAGTTTGGGAGCCTGGTGTGTGTCACTGTTCTGGGCGCTGGGCGCTGGGCTGTGGCCGATGTGGCCTGTGTCTGTAGTAGTATAGGATCCACATTAGGAGTCCCGCTACGCCCACGTGCCAGCTGTTGGCGACTGCTCGATGGCGCTGTTTGTCGGCCATCCGGGAGGTGTATCCCACTGGGATGTGTTGGAGTGATTCTTTGGTCTCGATGGGCGGGATGCGGAGCTCGTTCTGGTCGTCCACCATGAGGAAATTCTCATAGTAGTGCCATGGTTCGTATTGGCGCTTGTCTGCGGCCCATCTGCCATGTGTGGCGGAGTCCATGCATCTCTTGCTGGAGCGTGGGGCGGCCCGGCCCGATTCTGTGGGTGCAGGGGGCGTCAGGCACGGCAGGTTCTCGCCATCCTTCCAGCAGTCTGGGGCTGTCCATCCTGCCGGTATTTGCGCTTCTCGGATGGGCTGTGGGCAGCGCACCTGGTGTGCACCGAAAAAATTCTTCCAGTTGGTGTCCGGTCCCAGCACTGAGTTGATATTGGGGCCATCCCAATCTATTGTGCTCCACCAGACTCTGGGTCTGGAGATGCGTTGGAACTCCCCAGCGTCAAAGATGATGGCGCCATACCCGAGTTTCTTCGCAAGGTGTTGGATGTCTCCTCCGCGGTGGGGAATCACGCTCTCTGTGAGCTTCGCAATCTTCCTGGGTCCAAGCAGTGGATGTAGTTCCCGCTGCCAGGTTGCGAAGTGTTCGATCATGGTGACTTCCGTGCCCTCCTCGTCTGGTCCCCCAGATATGCTGGCACAGATGAGGATGATGGCCTGATGGCCCGGGTCGAATTGGTTGATCTGTTTGGCGATGTCGTTCACATCGTCCTGGGTGAAGTCGCCTCGATGTTGGGCTCCATGTTGGTGTGAGGTCAGGTCGATGTAGTCCTGTTCGGTCTCCCATGCTAGGTAGCCCAAGATGTGGCATGGTATGCTTGATCACTGTGTCCAGCGCCAGTTTGGCCCCTCCAATGCCGTCGGCAATGCTGAGCAGTATCACTGGCTGCCCCATATGGCATTGGGTGCGTGGATCGATCGGGCGGATCCACTCGCCTTCTTTTGCCGGGTACCCCGCAGACTTGCGAGGCCCCGAGCTGTCCCTAGGCTGATGGGTATAGCTGCCAGTCCCACCATTGTGGTCGTGGGACTGATTGGACCGGGTGTCCTGTTTCTTGTCGTGGCGCTGCCACCGTGGGTCTTGACTGGCCCATCTCTTCTGTCCACCATGGCCCTGGCCGGAGTGGGTGCGGTATGGCTCATTCTTCGGCTGTGTTGTGGGCGCTTGTGGTCTCACCTTGGGCATGGGGGCTGGCAGCTCCTTCTGTAGCGCTGCTTGGAGTGCGTGCTGCTCCGTCATGATGGCACGCGTGACAGTCTGGAAGTCGGCTCCTTGGCGCAGTTCAAGGCAGAGTTTCCAGTTGGCCTCCAACCAGTATGCTTTGATCTGTTCCAGCCTTTGTGTCTTGGTTCGCACTAGGCATCTCCACCATGCGATCCATGCTCATACTGCCGCTTCCGTGCTCATCCTGACTAGGGTCAGGGCCCACTCGATGGCTTCTAAGGCATCCAGGAGCGACAGCACGCCCTTCGGGCTCCATTGTGTTCTGTCGGGATCCTGGGCCAGTGGATTGGGATTTCCAGCTGCATCGAAGACTCGACTGGCTAGTTCGTGGAGCTGCATGGCAATGGGTGTGTGCATGTTGTGCTGCATCTCCCACCACATGCGGGCGATGATCTGCTCGCAACCCAGCAGCATCCGCTGTGGGAATTCTCGTCTGATGCCATCTATATCTGATCCTCGTATTTGGCCAAGAGGTCCTTGTGGACGGCAGGTGGTAGCTCTTTCGGAGGTGTCTTCGTCTGGCTTGTAGTTGTGGCACTTGGTGCTGTTGGTGCCGTGGTCTGAGATGCCATTGAGGTGGCTTCCAATACCGTCTCTGGGCCTTGGCGAGAGGGATGTCTGCTTCGGCGACTTGGTATGTCACCCTGTCCATGGTGTGCCCAGTCTCCAGAGGCTTCACTAGGAGAGCATCGACTTCATCCCAATTCTTGGCCATCGCCCCCAGCACTCCTGTGGATAGTGCTCGTCGGGCCCGCAGGTAATCGAGCACTGCCTCCTCTGCGATCTGCATCAGGTCGCTGTTGAGTCCCCGCATGGCTCTTGGCGCGAGATTTCTACGAATTGATGTTGATAAAGAGAAGGAAGGTCTGCCCAGCAGTGAGGTGATGTGATTGGATCCTGGCACATTTAAACCAACTGAAATACGTGATGTTAACCGTAAAGTCAAGTTGCAAATGGGTCATGCGCTGGGTGGCCCGAGCTCCGCATGAGCCAGACTACATCGCAATGTCATGAATGTCTTAATTGGAGTGCTCGCACGCACTCTTGGTCCCCCTAGCTCGGCTGGACCGGACTGCATGATCTGAGTGACAATGCTGGTGGTCATGATACCCACAGAGGTTCCCCAAGGGCAGTCTCGCCCAGTGTGAGGGAGGTCTCATGAGCTTGTGTCTACATGAATTTCCATTTCCCCAGAATGCAAAAGCTCAGAGGAGTGTTGTAATCGACAAATGTTAAATTAATCAGTGGCATAAAACTACTGCAGCCGAGGGGCAAACACGGGTCATGGGGGTGTTGGAAGGAGACCAATAGACATGTCATTCATGTCGCGCTCTACGCTATTCAAGCAGTAGAGCCGGTGCAAGAGTGCGGGGTGGGTGTTGACTCACGCCCGTGTGTTCAACCCGCCTAGCTATAGTGCGGTTGTGTGTTCGCGCTGTGTCAAGCGCACACGGTGCCACACAGGAGCACAAGCAGTGTGTTTGGGACCTATGCGTCGCCCACCTGACTCGGCTGGGTCGACCATGATGCGTGAGAAGACATGATGATGAGTGTGGTGTTGTGTGGTCAGTGCGCCTGACCGACACCACGCGTGACCCCCCCTGACTCGGCGGGGTCGTTGTGATAACGGTGTGTGTTGAGATGGTGGTTACGCAGCTCTTCTGTGTGGATCGTGAAGGTGCTTGCAATGGGTTCCCTCTTGAATTCGTTTGGCGACCTGCGCGGTCCCTACTTTTTCCGCTGTCCTGGTGCCTTCAGGAGTCTGCCGGTCTTGATGGTGCCCCTCTGTCACCAGTGATGTGTCCTCTTCCGGTGAGGGTGTGAAACAGAGCGGGCAGAATTGGCTGCCGCTGTGAGCTCTCATGAATTGGGCTTCGCCGTACTGCCAGCCGCCCAGCCGCATGGTGTGGACCATTCCCACACTGGGGTGGTGTCTTCGTGTTCGTCTGGCTGGTGGCAGTGTGCGCCGACTACCATCGGCGGTGGTGGGTTCAGGTCTTCGGTCTGCTGGAGTAGTTGGTGACACTGTTGTGCGAGTTCCGAGAGGTCAGCCTGGATCTCCGCCTTCATGTGGTCCAACTCCTCGTCAGGTTGTGTCTGATGATGGGTGTCCCTGTCGTGCAGTGATTCCGCCTGGTGTTGGAGGTCTGCCAGGGTTCCCCCAATGAGGTGCTGTAGGACCTTCGGCGAGTCCCATCGTGCCAAGAGCAAGATTAGCTTGGTGCTGAATCCTAATCGGGCTAGAAATCTGGTGCCCAGGGCTCGTAGCATGTCTCCAGAGATATTCGTGATCAGTTCGCTTGAGTGGGACCCCTGCACTTTGGAGTCCAGCAACATCTGATGGATGTGGCCTAATAGTTCTGTGGAGTCCTGTGCTCCTTGTTGAAAGATGGTCTGGTCGTCGTCCGCCCCTAATTCCGAGGTGGCCATGGTGAGGTCCAGAATCTTCGCCATGTTGTGGTATGGGCACAATCGTTTGCCCGCGATGGTGCAGGCGCACACGACCACGAATCGTCTGCTCGAGAGTTTACAGACGCCCTTTATCAGAAATGGGGCGCCGCCAACATCCAGCACATGATCGACATCACTGAGGTGGACACCGAGCACTTTCAGACGCGGCCCCAAGCCCGCAGAATCACATACCACACGTTAGTGGTAGGTGCTCAGTTCCTGACTACAGTCGACGAGCTGATGACCACAACCAGGTCACACATCAAACTCGACCACGATCAACACATCGTGACGTGGACATTACCAGCCAGTCAACTGGTTCTTGCCAGCGGAGCATTCAGGACCCTCGGTCTGCACGACCGGAGGGCCATCACTTGGGGTGCTCGCTCGCCACCCTTCTTTCTGTTTCTTCAGCAGTTGCCGCCTTATAGCAGCCCATATGGCTGCTGGCATCTGCAGGGTGGGGTCTGGATCGACCCGGGCCATACCGTCGGATGGCTTGATGTGTCCATTGAGCCGACGTGCTGGCGGTTCTCACCTGAGTCAATTCAATGACATCTGAGTGTTCAGTGCGATATCCGGAACATGTCGGTCTGACATAGGTGTCACCCGGTGACAGGTCGAGACTGAACATGACACGAAAACCTACGCGTGATACCTGGCAAGAGCAACAGGAGAAGACAGGGACGGCAGGAGACGCAATTAACTCAAATGGTACATGTTTCTCTCTTCTAGTGAAGTGTTTAATGAATGTCCCTATCAGCAGCAGGGTTTTTCTAATGGTAGAACTCACCCGGCGATCCTTGGTGTGGTGTGATGCCTGACCCCGCGCCAAATGATTATGCCTGGGTCCGTTCTGAGGATCACAGTCATGATGTCGATGCCATTTGGCCGGAGGGAGATCCCGTGGTGGCCATGGCTCAGGTGTATCTACAGTTCCTCCTGTTTCAATTTGGCACTCGAGCCTTCACACCTTCGGCATTCGGCCCGAGTGCTCACGACCTCCCATGTTCCTACGCACAATGCTTGTGCTACAAAACAAAGTCATGCGATGTCATGGGTTTTGAATACATTGTTGCCTCTATTTTTAAGCCATGGCATGATCCCATTTTTTCAGCCGGATCTATCCCGATGGCACCTTGGCATTCTCTGGAATGCGCGATTTTCGCAATGCAGGTGGCCTCCAATCCCCGAAAATCTGAAATTATGGTCATGTAACGATGGGTGATATATGTATATATATATATATTATAATGTGAATGGCAACATAAAATATTGAGGCGATCTGTCAACGGAGGCGATGCAAATAGACGTTCTTCCCCTGGAACTGGGATCAACATGAAAAAGAAAGGAACACACAAGGGTTCCCCAGTACTTCCAAATCTCCTCTAGAAGCAATGCAGCAATCCCAAACCTTCAAGTTTTGATACACTCGGGATTGCCTTTCACCTTTCCCCCAAGTATGTCCATAGCGCTACTGTGGCAGTTGTATTCCAATATCATTATGCATCATATATCAAATATCAGTATTATATAATATATAATATATATATGTGTGTGTGTACATTTATGTCCACCAAAGTCAATATGCGGCTGCAGGTATTTGCGTAGCATCAATGTGCTGACAACAAGAATCAAGTCATCAAGCCAACTGCACCTTCAATGCGTGGGCTTGCCGAGCCATGCGCCACGCATCAAGCAAGGCACACAATGTCAGGCCTGCAGGTAGCCTGGCAGCTGTCGCCAACAGCCTCGAAAGGTCATCTTAGTTGCGGGTATATCCCACTCATTGGCGTACCCTACCGAAATAAACCGATTGCGGGGATTTGGGGTGTCCGCGGTGTCCCGGCATTGTGGACACTTTACATGTTCATGCCCCTGCAGCTATGCTTACACTGCCTTCCCATTCTCCCTCCAGTCTTAACAGCAAAGGCACAAGAGAGTCAACTACCTTGTCTGATTATTTTGATTTACTTTGCGGAACTGGGTGGAAGTTCCCGGCAGTTCCTAGTTCCTGTAGCCCAATTTCAGTGACCTAAAGGTCAAGCTCCTGCTACCTGGTTGCCGTCCCTTTGAAGCATCCTCCCCCCTGCCTTCCTCAGTGTCAATCTGCGCACTATCAACCTTTGCAACCTCAGTATCTAAGCCAGAAGACATCAACACCATCAACACCATCTGCTCACAGACTTAGTGGCCCAGGGGGTTGTTGGAGATTCACTGTCTGCAATGAAGCTGACCAGGGCTTGGTCAAGACATCACGAAAGAACAAGACAGGTGGAACAAGCAAAAGACACCCTGTCATGAGTTCGTGCCCCTTTTTGAAACAAGTGCCAACTGACTCTCTGCAAAACGCAAAAAGAAAAGTGCTGCTCACTGGTTCCCAGTCAAGCTTGCGCACTGATCGATTGAAAGTGTTGAGAATCAATGGAGTTGCGCGGTTTCCCTGAAATGAAACAGCACCATCGCATTTGCGATTTACCGGCTCAAACATGCTAAAATATTCGCAGATGGATTGAAGAACCACAAGTGACCTTCTTGTGAGGTCAAGAATAGCAGGATCTACCGCAACATCTCATGATCTGAATGATGGCCATCACTAGCACTTCCAATTGAGCGTGCTGGAGATGCCTGTGGTCGGAAGGAAAGATGGCAACATGAGAAATTGCTTCCGGTGGGTCTCACATAGCAACTGAGCAGTGTCAGAAATGGATGATCAAATCCCCAAAACAATGGATGGCTAATACCGGTTCATGGATCCTGGAAAGAAACGATATGTTGGCTAGCCTAACTACCTATAATCCATCAACAAACTGGGTTTTCGGAAACTGCTCAATTGAGAATCCATTGAAAAAAAAGTTGGGGTCAGTTTTAACTTCACAGTTTTCACACCTCTCAAGTGATACCATCCTGCATCCCTTGTGCCTTTCGCAATTGAGCCTGCCCGACTATGGCCTGCAAGAAGTGACCAAAGATCTCATGTGCGACAGTGTGACAGAGATTTAAACCAACATTACTCACCAAAGTCCAAACAAATCATGAAACCTTTTCAGTCCGATAAAAATCCGAAAATTTCGAACACTCTGGTGGATCGGTGGAAGGGGAATTTGAAAGATGGGTACTCTACTCAGTTTCCAGTCAGAGCTGCTGTGAAGCCTCCCAAAACGGAAACCCAGCAGTTCGGCAGCTGGTCCCGCAGTATCCCATCCATGGTACTCTGATTGTTGCCCTCTCAACGGACAGCGCATCAATACATGGGTATGGTTTTTAAAATGGCACCAATCGACCCACAAATCTCGCAGCTCTAGTTCTATCACATCCATTTTTGGGGTTTAATCCTTTTGAGCCATACAGTTCAAAGTTCTT